TACATTGAGGACAATGCATAGTTTAAGTGTAGGGGTGTGGGGAAACAATTAATTTTGTTCCCTATTTTGTTTTTTTTAATAAATATTTGCATTAGATTTGAGAATTTGAATCAGTAACTGGAATGATCATGAATTCAAGAAAAAAAATATGTCATGTTGATATGAGTGGATTGCTTTTATGATTTGCTGATTGAGTTGACTTGAGAATTTCTTGATTAAATCTTTTGTGAAAGAAATTTGAACCATGTGAATTTTGAGCATAATGATAAGGATGGACCACCATGTGCCATACCTATTTTTCTTGAGTAATTTAACCATGTTTTGTTGATACTCTAATAGTTAGCTTGATTCTGTGTTGTGCAACTGAGGTGAATATGCATGATTTGATATGATTGAGGCATTTCTTGTTTTAACTACTTGGCCAAATAAACTTGTCCTAACATTAATCCATTGGAAACCCCTTTGAGCCTTAAGTCTATTTTTCTTGTCTTTCGTCATTGTCAGATGAGAAAAAAAGGAAAATAATATGTTCCTACGTTAGAAAAAGAAAAACAAAGAAGGAGTAATGGATTTTGTTAAAAATAAGTGATGAATAAGTGTGTGGGTGAGTTCCTCACCCACAAAATAATAAAAAAGGGAAAAACGGAAGATGAAAAGTTGGAATTTTAAAAAGAAAAAAAAGAGAGAAAAAAAGAGAAAGAAAAGTAATTCTTCCTTAAAAGAGCAAGAAATAGATTTGTTTTTGAAATCAAGTGTCACTACTCTTTCTATATTAATTTCAAAAACTCAGAAATTCCAAGAAAATTCCCTACCTTTGCCTTGGCCTCAATAAAACCTTAAAAAGCCCTCATGATCAATAATTGCATGTTTTCTGAAGTATGTGAATGTTAGAGTCTTGCTAAATATTAATGGTGTCTACTTACATGGGTATTTTGAGTGTAAACACAAGCCAAAAACACTTGAGAGAGTTGGAAAGAAATAGATACATTTTGACTTGAGTGTTATCTTTCATATTTGATTTTCTTGGGAATTCAAAAATGTCAACTCATGTGTGAAGAATAAAGTAATTTCATTTGCATGTCCATGACAAAGTAATGTCTAGATGATTGGTCTATGTCCGGTGTTGTTCATTATTTTGATCCAAATGCAAATATAGAATAAAATGACTCAGAACAAAGTCTTGGAATTAATCAATTTTGCCCAGGAGTGCAAAAGGATAAGTGTAAGGATGTGATAAGTGCATATTTATGCCCACATTTATGCTTTAAAATTCAAATTTTTGATGAATTCATGTACTTGAATGAGTGATTTAAAGAGGATTTGTTATGATTGAATATATTGTGTTTGGAAATAAAAGGGACTTAAAAAGTGATTTTTAGTTGCATAAATTATTCTTGGATATTCTTACATTTATTTTTGCAGCTGAAATAATAAGTTTTATTGGTCCAAATGGCAATTCAAGGCCCAAAATCAGATTTTGTTTGAAAAATAATATACAAATGGGCCAAACAGACAAACTTTACCCTTGCACCTCCTAAATTTCCTTACATACATCCCTCTTTTCTTAACCAGGCCCAATAGTTAAATTTTACCGTTACACCCTCATAATAGATCCAACCACTCAGATAATGCCATGTCACCATCTTCTTCAACCTTCAGAAATAGAAACCCTAATTCCCAATCCAAACCCTAGCCGTCGTTCTGCTTCCGCCAGGCCATGCGTCGTCGCCACCATCGACAGGTGTTGTTACGCAAAACAACCGTGCCGGCCACCACCTTTCTTCACCTCCGCTCCATCGCGAGTTCCACTGTGACATCCTCCTCCACATTCTCGCACCACCGCACCATCCGCAACCATGTCGCGACCTCATCACCGGATCTGCAACACCACTTCCTCCAAACCGCCACCATCGCGATTCCATCATCGCGCTACCATGCCGCAACCCGCCGTCGCACAGCAACCACCGTCATGCGCAACCTCCACGCCTCGCTTCAGGGCACCATCATCATCCTAATCGGATCGCAAGTCGCTACCTAAAGCCGCTGCAGGAACGACCATCACAACGCCTCAATCATGCACCATTATTCTCCGCCACACCTACAAATCTCGAAATCCCTAACGCGAATCGCATCGTCTCTTTCGCATAACCTACACTCAGAAAACCAAGAACCAGAAACGCAAAGACGAGCAACTAGCGATACACAGTTCTCTCCACCGGTGCATGAGCAAAAGGGAAGCCCTTTCCCCAATCTGAAACCCTAATTATTGAAGGAAGAGGGCAGCCACGTGTGTAGCCCTGATTGGTGCGTGCAAGCTGGGTCAAAATTGGTCAAAGCATGTCAACAAGTCTCCTCTGGTCAAAGGTGGTCAAACAGGGGTCTTTATTGCAATTTTAGAAATTAAAAAGGGGGCTAAAGTGCATATAGAAGAAATTTTGGAGCTTCAGTGTAATTTTGGAAAGTCAGAAAAACTAAAAGATAAAATTCAATTGTTGAATTAATTTAATTTGGGAATATCAACCAAAAATATCTTCCAAATTATTTATAATTATTTAAATCTTTTAATTATTTGGAAGATATAAAATAAAAAATTTTGTCAACTGAATATTCAGAGTCCAACCCAATCAAGCTCTACATAAAGAGACCCAGGGGAAGCAGAAAAAGGGACTTCACTTCATTCATTCACCACTTCTCTCACTTTTCTTTCATCTTGTATTCAACTCCATTCATGGAGAGCTAAGCATCTAGGGCTATTCTGCTGTAATTCCATTATTGATTCTGAGGTTAGGTTGAGTTAATGAAATTGTTTATTTTGATTATTGATTTAAGTTGTTCTCTCTCTATGTCTTTCATCTCTCTATCAAATTAAAAGCAAAGAATTTTGCATCACGTTTGAATCTACATGCATATTGATTATATGAGTTATAGGGTTTCTGGGTTTAATTGAGAATCTACTTTGATTTAACTTAGGAACTTTCATATGATTAAAAGGTTTTTACTATCAATTGAGAATGTACTTTGATTGGTAGTAATAATTTCAACTATAATCAATTGAAAATTTACTTTGATTGATTAGCTTTTAACTTGGTTAGGAATTTAAGAATAGACATGATTAAACACAATAGAATTTGATTGAGAATGTACTTTGGTCGAATTTATTGTGAATAATCTAGAAAGGTTTTGCATTTAATTGAGAATTTACTTTGGTTAATTGCATGATTGCCCTCAAATTAATTAAGAATGTACTTTAATTAATTTGAAACTTGAACAATAATCAATTGGACAATGATTTGTGAATAACCGACGATGAATCTATCTTGGAAAGCAATGGAATTAGCCTATTTCTTCATAATTGTTTCTAAGATTTCTCTTTCTTTAAACATTCTCACTTTTATTCATAAGCATTACATAACATTCATAAGAGTCAGATATTCGAAAGCAATTCAGTGTTCGTAGGGAGATGACTTAGGGTTACTTTAGTCGTATCTACTTTTTTAGATACTACTTGGCAATACTGAAGTTGCCTTGAAAAGTGGTATTAATTTGATAGCTTCAACAATAGTTTATCAATGAGGCAGGAGTGGGACGGAGTGCAAGAGTTGTGCAGGCAACCGAGAATGCCTGCATGAAAGCCCAACCGTTCGGATGAAGTTGGGTGGGAGCCACGTTGAGCACTCGAAGAACGCCTATCTAGAAGTCGGAGAAGGGCATAAGGACGTTCAAGTCGCGAAAGAGCATCGAATAAGCATAGAAGAAATCTGAGAAGTATCCTTTCCGACCATTGCACGCTTGCTCGGTCTTCTTGCAGACGACTATTTTAAAGTAGTCAGCATCTACAACTGCCTTCACCATGCCAATGTTGCGGAGCAACTCCTTTAGCGAACGGCCGGTGTAAAAGGACGAGGTGTAAAGCTTAACCTCGTGGGGAACCCAGTTGTAGTTGGCAACAGTAGGCCAAGCTCTACATCTGCCATCCCACTCACCGGTGAAGTCGATGTTGATTCCCACCTACTCGTCCTCATTGTCCTCAAGGATACGCAAGAAGTCCTCACTGCCCGCTGGACCGACTTGGTCGTTGGTGTGGGGATCTTGCCCACCGCCGGCACCCCACGTAGAAGAGAGGACGCTGCCGACGGGCTCATCACTTGGAGAAGACATGGTTACCTAAAAGGTTGAAGGTTTGGAGCTGTTGAGAGGACAAAAGGTCAGGAAGAACGTTCGGGAGTCAGAGAGCTCGAGGGAAAAGTGAAAATGAGAGAGGACCCTACCACTATTTATAGGGGTGAAGGCGGTTCGTCAAACTCATTTGGGACGTACAAAGGGAAAAGATATAACGGTTGAAACGTCGTGACGTTATGTTTTCTACCTTTTCCCGCTCTTTTTTACAGTCGCGACTCTTCGATTTCTATTGTTCCCGCATTTTGCAGATCTTGAAGGGACGTGACGTTTGTTGAACTGTCATGACCTCAGAAGCTAAAGAATCCTAAGTCGATCGGTGAGACTTGAAAAACCCTACGCAATATCTAAGATCTTGCTAGGACTTGAGGGGTCTATGTTATTATGGGCTTATAGTTGACCGATCGAATACGGTGACAAACTGGGTGGAAAGGACCGAGTAATAGACGAACGTGCAAGAAAGCACACAGTCGCTTAGTCCCGACAACAGTTGAGCAAAGTTAAAGCGCAATTATTGTTACAACAGCTACTGATGAGTGTTTAAGGTTTGCATTAATGATCATTAACAGGTAAATTAATTAGTTAGATTCTTATAAACTCTAAAAGTGGAGGATTAATTTCGAGGTAAACTCACTTTTTTTCATAATTGAATTATTATAGACCTACAGAGAAAGATTTTGAATTGAAGGTCAGAGTGTATTCTGCAAGTCACCCCCTCTCCCCTACACCGATAGGTTAAACAAAGCAAGAAGCGGAGCGGATGTTCGACGGAGACAGAAACTTTACACAAACATCCTTGTCCCAATCCCACCGAAACAAATGTTATTCTTCAACTCAACTGCAAACAGCAAAAAGTACAAGAACTAGCCTCCATCTCAAATGTTTCGTACTATTATTCTGCTAGAGGAGAAAGATAACAATAAAGGAACAATATACATTAACGCGCATGCAAGGCATGCCTTGTAATTGTATTTGCAGATTTCCTTCCCTCATAAATACATGTCCTTTCTCTTCTTTTGAATTCTTCTACTCTTTTGTATTTTCTATCCAAGAAGTTCCTATGATACTAGGGAGAACTTGCACAGTAAACCAGGGATAAGTCCTTATGCGCAGTACTCGTATGTCTGTTTTCTAAGCTAGCATTTACTCAATTTAAAAACATATTCATGGAGGCCAAAAAAAGCAAAAGAACATGAACTCACCAGTATTCAAGCTTAAATAGGATGAAACATACTTTATAACTAAATATGTTGGAATAAAACTGCAGTTACTGACTTACAGAATTGACTTGGAATTTACCATCATGCGTACCCTCACTCACAGAAGTTAAAATCTATAAAGCTCCAAATGACCAGTGCTCACTAAAAGAAGGGGACAGCAAAATCTAAGTGCATAACTAGGAAAGGCCATAATCAATGTAATGTAAAACTGCGTTGTATCTTGGATCTCACTGCTTTAAAGGAATATTCACAAATGGTTTTATTGAAATTTTGGTTCTTCATAGAACTGAATGGGAATCAACCAAACCATGTAGCCGAGTTGAACCAACCTGTTTTCTTCTACATATCGACTCTTACTTTTTCAACCAAACTTTTCTGGACAAGTCCTCTGGCGTTCAATTCATTCAACAACTCCAAAGCTTCCTCAGCCAACCCTTCATAAATAATGCCTTCTACAAGAATAGAATACGTAGCCTCTGTAGGTTTACATCCTTTTGCCACCATATCGGCCAGAAAATCTATGGCCCAACTGGTTTGCCGAGCTTTACATAATGCCATCATAATTGAGTTGTAAATGAATACTTTTGGTCTAATTCCAAACCTTTTCATGTAATTGAAAAAATTTATAGCTTCGTGAACCTTTCCTTCACGACTTAGGCCTCCAACTACTGAAGTGCAAGTAATTGGATCGGGCTTAAGACCCTTACTGCACATCTCTTCCAAAAGCTCTACAGCAAGTTTGGCTTTCCCCATCTTTAGAAGCCCGTCAATGATTATATTGTAAGTAATAATATCAGGTTTAAGACCTATTCTGTTCATCTCTTCGAAGAGTTCCACGGCACACTCTGTTTTTCCGACCTTCAAAAGCCCATCAATTACTGTATTGTATGTAACAAGAGAAGGAGAGCACCCTTTGGAACATAGCTGCCTCAGTATCTCAACTGCATCATCCGCCTTCCCAGTTTTGCATAGTGCAGTTAGCAAAATATTATAGGTCACTATATCTGGGTAACAACCCCTGGATACCATTATTTCCAAGTACTCAATTGCTCTATTAATACCTTTTTCATTACACAACCTTTGAATCAACGGATTGTAACTTCTGGAATTAAGAGTATGACCATGCTTTGGCATCATCTCCAAGACATTAAGGGCTTTATCTAGTAAGCCCTTTTGGCACAAGAAATTGATCAAGATATTGAAAGTAACAACACTGGGGAAACACCCTTTACGAAGCATGTTAGCCATTAGTTTCATAGCATCCATCCATCTTCCACTGCTACACAAGCTACGCAATACAATATTATGGGAAATTACATCAGGCTGACAACCATAGGATGGCAATTTGTTTAAAAATCTAATTGCTTCATCCAACCTACCTTCATAACAAATCCCTTTTATAAGAACATTATAAGTAATCACATCAGGTTTGCATCCTTTCCTCCTCATCTCATTGAACAGTTTCATTGCCTGACCAACTCCACTTTCTTTACAAGCTGCATCAATCAATACAGTGCACGTAACTATATCTGGGTAAGACTTGTTTTGCATCTGTCTGTCAAGTACTTGCATGGCTTGCTTCAATTTCCCTCTATAACACAAACTACACAAAATTGCATCATATGTAGCAGCATTTGGAGCAACACTCATGCGATCCAAAATCCACAAGGCTTCTTCTGTGTCCCCTAATTTGCAATAACTACTGATTAAAACATTGTAACAGGTTACATCAATAACAGCTCCAGACTCCTCCAGAATTCCCATGATTCGAGTTGCATTCTTAGGCCTGCCAATCTTGCAAAACCCACGGATTAAAGCAGTACAAGCAATGACATCAGGGATCTTACCCTTATTAGTCAAATACTCAAGAAACTTAGAACTTTCCTCCAATTCCCCATTTCTAATCAACCTATGGAGATGACGTATCTCTGATTCTTCAAAATTCAGGGAATTATTGACCCTTGCTGAGGACTCCACCCCATTTAAAGCACATTTAGAAAAACTTTCAGAATGTTGCAGACTACCTTTCAAACCAGAACTTCCATATTTTGAACAAACAAACACGCTAAAGCCCAAATGCTGCCTATTCCAAGTCCCATTAGGTTTTCTAAAGTCAATAACCCCATCAGACAGACCAAATAACTGAAATTTGCAGGCCATATTATATACTCTCACCAAATTGAATGCAGAACAAGTGCTATATCTTTCTCAGAGGAAGTGTTAATATGAACAAAACTATGTATGTGGTACCACCAAGTCCATTCCTTCACCCACTTCAAACACTTGCTACACAAACTCTAATACCACCAATGCCTTTTCAGCTCTCAACCTGAAAATCCAAAATCATACATTCCATAAGTGCACTAGTCAATATACTTACAAGTTCAAGTAATAAGCACGCTATAAAAGTGAGGCAAGCCAATAACGAAACCTGCAATAACATAATAACCGATAGTCATAAGCCAAGCATCCACGACGACTACACAACACCAAGGTAACAATATACTTCAGCAGTCATATTCATTCATCAATGTGAACCTATAAGAGTAAATAATACTACAAATCAAGTAAAAAACAAAAATCGCGAAGTTATATTGAGAAATCCGAATTCATGATAAAATCAACATTCCAGAAACAAAAATCAACGATCGAAGTTCTCATAAACTTTATCACACTAATGTCAAAAGAATCCCTGAAACTTGTCTAATCCCTTTAAAACGGGAAAATGAGAACAAGAAAACAGGTTCTGCGGAAAAAAGAACTAACAACTCAATCAAGAAAAGAGGCTAACGTCACTGCGTTTGTAAATAGAGAAAGAAGAAAGTGAAAGATGAAATGTTAGGTTGAGAGGTTTACCCAGTGGATGAGGGTGTAGAAGTTACTCTACGGAAAGTGCGCAACGAAACGGAGGTATCAGTGACAGCGGTGCTCGGGTTGTGCGGCAAACTCAGGTGTCGTGCACACATAGGAAAAGAGAAAGAGAATAGCGCGAAGAGGATTCGTTAGGGATGTTAATGTATTTTACAAAGTCGACGATGGTAAACGTAATAGGGTAAATAAGGAAAATGATACTTCAACAACCATTTTTTACAACATTTAGACACGCGCACATGTGTCAAAATCTGAGTGGTCCATCTTCATTTAATTTTTCCAACTGGACCACTCAGATTTTGACACGTGTGCGCGTGTCTAAATGTTGTCAAAAATGGTTGTTCAAGTGTCATTTTCCGGTAAATAAATAGCACTTTGTTCACATATTTCTTAATTTTTGTAATAATATTTGTAAATTAATGAAGGTAATATATAAAGCAAATTTATATTTGTTATTAAAGTTAAATATATCTTTATATATATATATATATATATATATATACATATACTGTAAAAAATAAAGTATTAATCAAAAGTCTTCTAAATTTATAATATTAAATTTTTTTCTAATGAAAAAACCAAGATTGATGTTTATAATATGTTTTAACTTGTCTTTTATAAGAAGTATATTTTTTTTTGTGAATATATACAAATAACAAAAATAGTAGGAATTGAGTTTATATAAATGTAATAAATAAAAATCATAATTTATTTGTTAATGAGTCTTTTTAATTTATTGTAGAATATATAATTTATAATTTATTGAGTTTTAAAAACTACAAATAAAAAATCAATAATATCATTTACTTATAAATAAATAGTACAAACAGTATTGGTATATATGTTTTGATGTTAATGTATATAAAACGAATATGAATTCGAAACGAATTATGTTGTTCCTCTTGATGGAAAGAAATAAATTTAAGGATAATGTTCATCTTTTGAACATCAACTCTTTGACCGAACACCAAAATATAACGTTTTAAATCTAATGATGTGTATGAAAAAAGTGAACTATTTAATCAAAATATGGGCATCCATCAATGAATAGTATGTTATTTAATAAAGACATTCAATATATGTTTGAGATTTTTCTGCGTGCGTAGCGCATCTTTATTCACTTCTTTCATAATAAAATTATAATTATAAAAGTAAATATAAATAATTTTTACAATTTAATTATAGATGTTTTTATTTATTTTGTAAATTTATTTTTTAAAAATGTATATATAAAAAGTAGGAATTTGATTTATATAATAATATAGAAGTATAAACTAGTAAAGATGTATGTATTTGAATTTGTTCAAATTTTTTTCGTTGTTCAAGTAGGTTTTAATCTTTGTCAGTTTTAATCAATTTAATCTTTTTATTACGTATAAGTTTGTGGTGTTTTTTATATATTTTTATTTTTTTAATTAAAAAAATATTCACGTGTTAAGTAAATATTGTGTCACATGTCAATGTTATTATATTTGTTGTTTTTATTCAAATTTTGTTAGATTTAATTGTTTACTTTGTCCACATTTTCACTATAGTGTGTCAACTTGTTCTGCACTAAAAGTTTCAACTTTGTCCACATTTGGTATAATGTGCATCAATCAAGTCCAATTCTATTGACGGTGTTTAAATAGATAACGTTGACTTATTTTTTAATCCGTATTGTGCATATTTTGTTCTCGTGGCATTGTCTTGGGATATTGATTGTGACGTGTAAGCCAATAAGAGGATGACGTAGATTTGGGGAAAAAACTTGATGTTAATAGAATTAAGGGTTTCAAGCAAAGAAAATGAACTTGGGGATTTCAGATAGAGGATTGTTGAGTTTGTGATCGAAGAGAATTTGTGATCTACATTACCAATAGAGAAGAATCACAATTGGGGGGTTTTAAAGCATAAGCGCATTTGGGGATTTTGATGCACATTTGACATTGTTCGTGAGATATTTTGAACAACGAAGTGGGTTCTATTGAAGGTCGAAGGTGCATTTTTGTTGGATGTGTGTCTATGGTTGCCTTATGCTTTATGTTTTGTTTCGTTGTGGTGCCCCATGAAGTTAGATGTTTGTTTCGTTGTGGTCCCCATTATGTTTGTTGTTCTTTTGCTTGTGGTGCCCCATTTTCGTTATGGTCCCCCATTATGGTGTGTTCTTTTATTTGTTTATGGTTTGTTAAATTATTTGTTTATGGTTGTTGTTAGTTTTTATACCATGATGTTTATGGTCTATTGTTATTCAATTAACCCTACGCTGAAGCATGTAGTATCTAGGTAGAAGCACGAAAAATTAAGCCCCTACTGATGCATGTGAGAAACAAGTGCACATGATATCCCTGGTGATGAACTTGCAAACTGTTACATATCAATTATTGTGGGTTGGTTTATGATGTTCACTAGTTCAATAGGTGTCTGTTAAAATATACCATAATAGTTGAAGCCAAAATACAAATTATGTCCTTTTCTTAGACCATAATAGTTAAAATATACTATAATAGTTGAAGCCATAATATAAGGACACCACGTACCATAATAGTTGAAGCCATAATATATGGCCAACACCTACCATGTTTTGATCAAAACATAAGGAGTTTGTTAATAGGCTATTTGTGTCGCTTTTTATTTTATAGTTATATTATGTACCTTGTTATAAACTAAATGTAGTGTTATTTGGCTAAACTAAATGTAGTTTGACAAGAACTTTTATATAGGCATATATTAGTTGAGATGTTAACTCTGATATCAAAGTGGTCTTCACCATGGGGCAAGTTTGTCAATAATGAGTCACTAAAATACCAGTTTGGTCAAACCAGTACTTTGGTAATTGACCCATACAAATGGAGCTACTTTAAAATTTTGTCCATTCTGAAGGAGATGGGTTATGTCAATGTTAAAGAGTTGTGGTATTTGATGGACAAATTTATGATCACCAAAATATGATGTCACAAACTTGTTTTACAATCGGCAAGTATGACCGAATCGTTCAAGTAATAAACTTGGTAAGACCAAGTATCGTTCTTCCCAAAGGACTCACAGCCTAGTTTAGTTGTGTGGTTTATTGATTAGCTAAGACTTAAAGACGAAATATTTGGATTTTTATATGCAAAAGACGAAAATTAAATATGTATGCATGAAGTTTTGATCAATGGCAAAAGCAAAAGATAAACACTTTCAATGAAATATATGTATGAATATGTTGTTGGGGGTCAATTTCATCTTATCCACTCTCATATATTTTAGGAATTCAACATTCAAATCATCATTGTTAATGCCACTCTCTAAAGTACCTTTCAAGAAGGCTTCTCCCTAATTACGAGTTCATACAATTCCTAGCATTCCTAATAATTAGTTCATAAGTACAGGAGCTTAACGACAACCAATATAATATTGGGAGAAATTCCCCGGATCTAGACTTCCCCGTACGTGCCCGTATCGACAAAACCAATAATCATGCATCGAATGAGTTAAACAACGCAAGCATTAAGCAAAGAGGAAAAACCCTAACTAATGATGAAAGAAAGCATAGGTCTTAAATAAAAGATGTAAAAACAAATTCCACATATGAGAGCTTCAAAAGATTACATTGATTCCCCAACAAACATACAAAGTTTAGTTCACCATATTCATGGTGAACCTAGATGAATAACAATGAAAGAATGAAAGATAAAACCCTAGAAAGGTGAAGAGGAAGCCTGAGCATCCAAGATCCTCCTTCAAAGGGGTGGAAGAGAGAGTGTTTGCTTCGTTCTGCCAAGGATACCTAACCCTAGGAAACCCTAAAGCTTATATATTATTCGTAAATTACAGAAAATTAGGTCCAAGCCCATAAAAGTGCCGCTCAGCGGTAAGTGCGTGAGTCGTTTCTTCCCCTCAGCGGCCATTTTGCCCCTCAGCGGACCTCCCGTGACTTCCTGAGTGCCGCTCAGCGGTAAACTGCCGCTAAGCGGTGACTTCGACTTCTCCTTTTGCACTTTTTGATGTCTTTTCTGATTACATCTCTCTCCTTCTTCACTTCTTTCACTAAATTCACCTTAAAACCTACACAAAAACACTGAAATCAAGCATAAACCTGTCCAGCTCTCTTATTTATGAAAATATGAAGAAAAACATGATTTCAAGCTAGTTTCTAAGTGTAAATGTTGCTTTTTGTGTTAATTTTAAGCATGAAAATAACAGTTTTTCAACTGTTATCAGTATTCAATGGGTGGTGGTTCTATGTTAGAAGGAAGGTTGGAACTACTATCTAATGACAAAGGTGCATGTCATATGGTTAACATTGCTATATTGAATGGTCAAGTTCACTTGTATGTTGTACACATGGTGTCAGAGCCTCAATATATTGATATGTTGGAATATTTTGGTGAACTCGAAGTTGTTATGGATGGTGAACCGCAAGTTGAGAGAGATAGTGGTAAACCCCAAGTTCAGAGAAAGGGTGGTGAACCACAAGTTGAGATAGAGGGTGGTGAACCCCAAGTTGAGAGAGAGGAAGAGGATGATGTTGATGTTTTGAAGGAGGGTGATGATGATCTTGGTGTGGAGGGGAGGGTGAGGGAGAGTATGATGTTGTTGTTTTGAGGAGGCAAAGGGTGAAGGGGAGGATGATGTTGTTGCTTTGGGGAAGGGTGAGGATGATATTGTTGTGGAACGGGAGGGCGAGTGACATGATGAGTATGATGTTAGTAATTGGAATGGGTCCGAAGAGGATGTCTTGAGTAAAGATGATCTTTTGGATGTTAGTTTCCATGGAGATGAAGTGGAAGATGATTTCTGCAAAGGTAGTGTCCTAGTTGAGGTGGGTGAACCAAGTGGGTCTTCTACTCCATTTCAGCATGTACAGAACAGGGGTTTATCTGACACTGAATGAGAATCTGAAACTTTAGGCAGTGTTATATTAAGTGATTCATCATATGATGATAGAAAGCGGTATGGAAATTTTGAAATTTTCTCAATGCCTAAAAGTATGGACGAATATAAATAGGAAGTTGGGACATACTTCGCTGGAAAAAAAAAGATTTTACTGAAGCAATAAGAACTTATGGTGTAGAGAATGACAGGAAATTGAAGGTTTTTAAAAATGACAAAAGAATAGTTTGTGTGAAATGTTGAGGGGCAAAAGGAAATTTCCATGGTACGCTTATTGTCCATATAAGGTTGCCCAAAGTACATGGCACTTAAGGA